TGTCAACATTATGCGTATTATTCAGTGATAGTAACTAATAAAATTATTAACGAAAACAGTAGTCTAAATAAAAAAAAAATATTCATTCATTCGGATTTTCAACACTAGTCGTAGGCTACAGTTCCTCATAAAGTTGACCACAATACTCACGTCCACGTCACGTACATTTAATTATTCATTTCTAAATGCAAGAATTAAGCACAATTAACAATAAAAGTCATATTGTCCACACAACTACAGCAAGGTAACAGTTTGTTGTCAAAGGGGCGTCTACGTTCTATCAATCGGTTTCTTTTGATGTTAGGTGTCAATTCTCATTATGGAACTTTGATTGACAGTATGCATCAACCAGACTCTTTGGTGCCGAAATGAAAAAGTCAGCAAGGTATTATCGGACTGATATACGTGTCCATGGTATTCAGCAATCGTTCAAGCAGAAAATGAACCAAGAATGTTTTACAATCAACAATGCTGATTGTTTGTTAGCCATTTTCTAACATTTCTTCCAAGTTGAAACTATATGCTTCACGATTTTTGCACGAAGCTAAAATTATTGTCACAGGTAAATGACAAAATTTCTAACGAAGACATTAATTGCAAAGAGCTATTTCTGCCTAGAAAGTATGGCAGCACGAACTCAGTAAAATTTTAAGATTGGCGTCGCCATTCAGTCTGAAGAACAGTTCCGTTCGTCTTTTTAATTCCACCTTACTTGTTGTTCTGTAACCCCTAATCTAAAATGCTCTTTCGATCTCATCTAATATAGTACATGCCACAAAAACATCGAATTAACTTATTTATGATATCCCCATTCTTTATCAAAAATTAAACTTAAAAATATGATACAATTCCTTTTTAAATTGGCTTTCTCTGAAATAAAGTTTGGCAAAGTTATGCGTTACATATAAGCATGAAATGTATTTAGTAGGTTTTATTTGATCTTCAGCGAAAAAGGCTCGTCGCTCTATAATAATAAAAAGAAATAAAGAGTTCGAATTATTAGTTTATTTTCACGTTTTGTCTTACACAATAGACATATTGTTAGCTTCTGACACATGTGTATTAATTCTACAAGCCTTCTGTGTTTATTGACTGAGATAATCGCACTACCCTTCAACCAAAAATGCTTTCTATAGATCCCATATTATGTAATATATGATTGGTGCAATACCCATGCTGTTAGTCTTAATTGCGAAGACATTTAAACAAAAGGATTTAATCAGGGTAGGGAGTCGACGTGTACACACGTAAATCAGATGCATGAGATTTATCATTGTGGGAAATACTGTTTTAAATGGATATATAAATACACGTTTTATGATTGGGGACGAAACGGTTTGTGCATCTCAAGAAATCCAACATCTGTTTCACCGTAGTGATCTTGAAAAATAATCCTCGGATAATGACAGGCATTACAGATACCTGCCGTCGTATGAATCCTGAAAAATAATATTTCACCGTATCGCAACAGGTCAGTACTAAAACTAACACTAATTACAGTATTTCAACATTGTGCTGCAAAACTGAACGATGACCAACAACTAAACACATCGTTATATCTGAACATCGCATGTGAAATTAGATGTTAGACAACAAAATTTAACACCTTGCGCAATTGGACACCTGGACTAATTTTTAATCACAGCTCGGGAAATTGAATGGTCCAACTAATTATTGAACGGTCTTGCTAATTAGACGGGACGCTTATAATTCAATGTGTGTCGAGAAACTAAACACTAGTTAATTAGAAGCTTGGTAATCAAAATTAAACAGTGAGAGTGAAATTTGATAGTACAAATTGAGCACAATTAGCCGAAATTTAACAATATTTATGAATAATTGTACACCGAGTAGAATTAGCGCTATTTACGCAAGATTAAACGGTACCAAGGTTACAGTGAATACTGAATAAACTACATATATATATATCTAACAAGCTAAAAACGCAATTTTTCGTACAATCAGGGGCCATAATCCATGAACTTATGGTCCGATACATGCCAATATCGAAAGGAACCGAGATCTTAGGGCGATAAAGCTATATTTCAAGTTTCGTTGAAATCGGATAAAAATTGTGACCTGTAGAGTGTCCACAAACAAATTGTGGACGGACGGACAAACAAGGGCGACGACAATATACGTCCACATGAAAATGTGGGCGTATAAAAATTGTGACCTTTAGAGGGTCCACAACTTTCGTATAACACACTTTTACACAATTTGCGTACAAAGAGCATCCATTTTGTCGGTCAATTTCATTTTGATTTTCCCGAAATTCGAATTCAACCTTCATTATGGTGGAATGGTGATGTGTTTAAAATAGGAAAAAATGAGGGGCCGCCATTTTGTCCAGCAGTTTTGGCCAAATTTTCACGAAAATTCAAACTCAACAAACATTATGGTGTAACGGTGATATATTCAAATGTTTTTTTAAATCGGATAATAATTGTGACCTCTAGAGGGACCACAAGCTAAAAACGCGATATTCTGTACAATCAGAGGCCATAATTCAGGAAGTTACGATCCAATATGCACGAATATTGAAAGGAACCAAGATGTTTGGGTTATAAACATGCATTTCAATTATCATCAAATCGGATCAAAATTGTGGCCACTAGAGGGTCCACAACTTTGATATACCAGATGTTTACACTATTTGCATACCGGTACGAAGGGCAGCTATTTTGTCTGGCAGTTTTGGTCCGATTTTCATGAAATTCAAACTCAGACAAAATTATGGTGTAATGGTGATATATTCGAACGGTTTTTTTTAATCGGATAATAATTGTGACCTCTAGAGGAACCCACAAGCTAAAAACGCGATTTTTCGTACAATCTGGGGCCATAATTAAGGAAGTTACGATTTGATATGTACGAAAATCGACAGGAACAGGGATATTTGGGTTATAAACATGCATTTCAAGTTTCATCCTTGATACACAATATTTTGACACTATTTGCGAACGAGGGGCGACCATTTTGTCCTGTCAGTTTCGGTCCAATTTTTACGAAATTCAAACTCAATCATCCTTAGGGTGTAACGGTGATATATTCAAACGGTTTTTTAAATCGGATAATAATTGTGACCTCTAGAGGGGCCCACAAGCTAAAAATGCGATTTTACGTACAATCAGGGGCCATAATTCAGGAAGTTACGATTCGATATGTACGAAAATCGACATGAAACACGATATTTGGGTTATAAACATGCATTTCAAGTTTCATCAAAATCAGATGAAAATTGTGACCTCCAGAGTGTCCAGAACCCTGATACACAATATTTTGTCACTATTTGTGATCGAGGGGCGGCCATTTTGTCCATCAGGTCGGTCTGATTTTTACGAAATTCGAACTCAACCATCCTTAGGGTGTAACGATGATATATTCAAACGTTTTTTTAAATCGGATAATAATTGAAACCGACAAGCTAAAAACGCGAATTTTTAAGTACAATCAGGGGCCATAATTCAGGAAGGTACGATTCGATATGTACGAAAATCGGCAGGAACCAATACATTTGGGTTATAAACATGCATTTCAAGTTTCATCAAAATCAGATGAAAATTGTGACCTCGAGAGGGTCCACAACCCGGATACACAATATTCTGACACTAGTTGCGATCGTTGGGCGGCTATTGTGTCCGTCAGTTTCAGTCCGATTTTTATGAAATACAAATTCAACCATCCTTAGGGTGTAACGATAAAAATTGTGACCTCTATAGGGTCCACAAGCTAAAAATGCGTTTTTTCGTACAATCTGGGGCCATAATTTGGAGGAAGTTAAGGTCCGATATGCGCGAATATCGAAAGGAACTGAGATCTGTGGGTTATAAACATACATTTCAAGTTTAAACCAAATCGGATAAAAATTATGACCTCTACAGTTTTCACAAGCTAAAAACATGATTTTTCGTACAATCAGGGGCCATAATCCATAAAGTTACAGTCTGATACATGCCAATATCGAAAGAAACCAAGATCTTAGGGTGATAAACCTATATTTCAAGTTTCATTGAAATCGGATGAAAATTGTGACCTCTAGAGTGTTCACAAACAATTGTGGACGGACGGACGTCCCGACTGACAGGGGCAACGACAATGAATATACGTCCACATGAAAATGTCGCGTATAAAAATCTATGGTGTGAAAGAGGCGAGAAACGAGGACTTAAAATCGAAATTCCTTAAACTTGCTCATGACTGTGCCGGTCTTACTGTTCCAATTATGGAAATAATTGCCATTCATAGAATACCATCAAAACATCATAATACACCTCGCCCAATCATATTGAAGGTATTAACAACATATATGCAAAGATAGGTTGCTAGGCAACGAAACATACGCCCACAGCAGCTAAATCGGTCGACAAGGGTTGTTGCATATCTATTCTTTTGTAGGTAATTGGGGGCATTTACAATACAATTTCATATAGATCAGAATATAATTTTTGTCGTTTGAGGGTTCACAAGGTTCTACAAACTGAAACAAGGGCCTTAACTCTGGTAGTAATATACAGAAAATTTTGAAATTTGATATAAATTTCACACAAATCGGATGATAACTTTGTCTTTCGAATGTTTACATGGTTTACAAAGTAAAACAAGGGCCATAACTCTAGAAATAATTGACGGAAATTGCTGAAATTCATTGGACCTCTGTTTCACAAATTTAAATGATGCATATAAATTTCATACATATCTGATGATAACTTTCATCAATCGAGGCCATAACTCGAGAAGTAATTATTGTAAATTGCTGAAATTCAATAGGCTTTGTGGTTTCACTAATCTAAATGATGCATATAAATTTCATACAGATCGGCTGATAACTTTTGGCGTTAGAGTGTTCACAAGGTTCAACAAAGTTATGTTGATACTTAACTTCCTGTACCAGAAGTTTCAGAAACATTCATTGAGCAGTAAAAAAAAAAAGTGTATCAAAACTACCAATTTCTTGGTCGTACACAGACTTTAATAATCGTTAGAGAATACTTACTTACCTTTAATGTTCCTGCAACTGTTTGCCAAGTTACTGTCGAGTCAGGTCCTATTATACTGTAGCACACCAATCCTTTGAGAATATTTTCTAAGCTTGAACCAAGGCTTGCATTTGTTTTAGTTTTTACAGTTGAAAACTCCTTGACACCAGAATCATATTCAATACTGTAATGCAACTCCATTGTATTCTCATCTGATAATCAAAGAATAAAATACATGTGGTGTTTACATTTTAAATCAAAATCTACCAGATAATCTAAATTGGACAGGATCTCTTTTATTTAGGTAGATTAATGAACAAAAATAACATTGGCTTATCCATGACAACTAGCGGCTGCCAGGCAGGATACGCCCACATTTTCGAGAGATGGATAGAGAACAAGCTAAAAAGAAAGTGATTTTTCCTACAATCAAGGGCCATAATTCAGGAAATTACAATTCGATATGCGCAAACATCGAAAAAAAAACCCGAGATCTTTGGGTTATAAACTTACATTTCAAGTTTCAACAAAATCGGATAAAAATTGTGACCTTTATAGGGTCCACAACTTTGATATATCATATTTTTACGCTATTGGAGAACGAGGGCCGGCCATTTTGCCAGTCAGTTTTGGGCCGATTTTCACAAAATTTGAATTCAGCCGTCCTTAGGGTGTAACAGTGATACATTAAAACGTTTTTTTAAATTGGATAAAAATTATGACCTCTATAGGGCCCACAAGCTAGAAAACGCAATTTTTCCTACAATCAAGGGCCATAATTCAGGAAATTACAATTCGATATGCGCAAATATCGAAATAAACTGAGATCTTTGTGTTATAAACTTCAAGTTTCAACAAAATCGGATAAAAATTGTGACCTCTATAGGGTCCACAACCTTGATATACCATATTTTTACGCTATTTGAGAACGAAAGGTGGCCATTTACGCTATTTGAGAACGAAAGGTGGCCATTTTGTCTGTCAGTTTTGGGAAGATTTTCACGAAATTCGAACTCAGCCGTGCTTAGGGTGTAACGGTGATATAATAATACGTTTTTTTAAATCGGATAAAAATTATGACCTCTTTTGGGTACACAAGCTAGAAACGCGATTTTTCGTATAATCAGGGGCCATAATTCAGGAAGTTACTGTCCGATATGACCAAGTATCAAAAGGAACCGAGATCTTTGGGTTATAAACTTACATTTCAAGTTTCAACAAAATCTGATAAAAATTGTAACCTCTGTGGTAGTGTCGCCCGAAGTGCATAAAGAATTTCAAACCAGTCGCCCAAACTCATCAATTTGTCTACTTGCTTGGCGTATGCGAGCCAATCAACTATCGCGCACGTGCATGCTTCGACTATAAAACTGGGCGCGTATCATTCATCGGGGGAGTTTCAGTTAGTAACTCCCGAGGTAAGGTAACCTTATCATATGTAAGACACAGACCGGTTGTCAGAGTCGATAATCGCCTCATATCAACCAGATTGTGTTGATTTTCATTTCTTTTATATTTGGGCTACGTTGTTTGAGCGCATTTCTTACTCTTAGATAATAGTTCTGATTTGGGGATAAATAGTAAATTTGTATCTACTTCTCGCTTTGCTGTGGGGACCGCTGAATCGATCCACGTACTAAACCATATTGGAATTTGGTCACTTGATTCGTTTAGAATTCGGTGATTTCGTTTTTAATGGTGTTCTAGTAGTTTAGACATTGCGTTCTACTGCCAGACACTGGAGATATAGGCATTGCGGCCTTTTCACTTGATTCATGAGGAAGAATTCGGTGATTTCGATTTTAATGGTGTTCTAGTAGTTTAGACATTGCGTTCTACTGTCAGACACTGGAGATATAGGCATTGAGGCCTTTTCACTTGATTCGTGAGGAAGAATTCGGGGATTTCGATTTTAATAGTGTTCTAGTAGTTTAGACATTGCGTTCTACTGTCAGACACTGAAGGTATAGGCATTGCGGCCTTTTCACTTGATTCGTGTGGAAGAATTCGGTGATTTCGTTTTTAATAGTGGGTTAACGGGCTGTACAGGATCGATGAATCGATTCACCACAGTGAGTTAATTCATTCCTTAGTTTGAGAAATAGACGTTGGCGTATAAAGTTCATGATTTCTGTTTAGTATTTCGGGCAAATCAATCATTTGAAACATTAAAGGCACACGTCACATTTCCATAATCCATTGTTGTTTAATTTATAATAAAAAGTATCAAATTATATCTTGTTTATTGTTTGTTTCATGACATTTTAATAGTGTTCTAGTAGTTTAGACATTGCGTTCTACTGTCAGACACCGAAGGTATAGGCATTGCGGCCTTTTCACTTGATTCGTGTGGAAGAATTCGGTGATTTCGTTTTTAATAGTGGGTTAACGGGCTGTACAGGATCGATGAATCGATTCACCACAGTGAGTTAATTAATTCCGTAGTTTGAGAAATAGACGTTGGCGTATAAAGTTCATGATTTCTGTTTAGTATTTCGGGCAAATCAATCATTTGAAACATTAAAGGCACACGTCACATTTCCATAATCCATTGTTGTTTAATTTATAATAAAAAGTATCAAATTATATCTTGTTTATTGTTTGTTTCATGACATTTTAATAGTGTTCTAGTAGTTTAGACATTGCGTTCTACTGTCAGACACCGAAGGTATAGGCATTGCGGCCTTTTCACTTGATTCGTGTGGAAGAATTCGGTGATTTCGTTTTTAATAGTGGGTTAACGGGCTGTACAGGATCGATGAATCGATTCACCACAGCGAGTTCATTCATTCCGTAGTTTGAGAAATAGACTTTGGCGTATAAAGTTCATGATTTCTGTTTAGTATTTCGGGCAAATCAATCATTTGAAACATTAAAGGCACACGTCACATTTCCATAATCCATTGTTGTTTAATTTATAATAAAAAGTATCAAATTATATCTTGTTTATTGTTTGTTTCATGACATTTTAATAGTGTTCTAGTAGTTTAGACATTGCGTTCTACTGTCAGACACCGAAGGTATAGGCATTGCGGCCTTTTCACTTGATTCGTGTGGAAGAATTCGGTGATTTCGTTTTTAATAGTGGGTTAACGGGCTGTACAGGATCGATGAATCGATTCACCACAGCGAGTTCATTCATTCCGTAGTTTGAGAAATAGACTTTGGCGTATAAAGTTCATGATTTCTGTTTAGTATTTCGGGCAAATCAATCATTTGAAACATTAAAGGCACACGTCACATTTCCAGAATCCATTGTTGTTTAATTTATAATAAAAAGTACGTCACATTTCCAGAATCCATTGTTGTTTAATTTATAATAAAAAGTATCAAATTATATCTTGTTTATTGTTTGTTTCATGACATTAGCTGCCGCTGCATCCAGTATCCGAACCCTGTCCTACTACACTTCTATAGGGTCCACAACCTTGATATACCATATTTTTATGCTATTTGAGACCGAACGGCGGCTATTTTATCTGTCAATTTTAGGCCGATTTTCACGAAATTCGAACTCAGCCGTCCTTAGGGTGTAACGATGATATAATAATATGTTTTTTTAAATCGGATAAAAATTATGACCTCTATAGGGTCCACAAGCTAAAAACGCGATTTTTCGTACAATCAGGGGCCATAATACTGGAAGTTACGGTCAGTTATGTGTGAATATCGAAAGGAACCGAGATCTTTGGGTTATAAACTTACATTTCAAGTTTCAACAAAATCAGATAAAAATTATGACCTCTATAGGTTCCACAAGCTAAAACGTGATTTTTCGTACAATCAGGGGCCATAATTCAGGAAGTTACGGTCTGATATGCGCGAATATCGAAATGAACTGAGATCTTTGGGTTATAAACCTACATATCAAGTTTCAACAAAATCGGATAAAAATTGTGACCTCTATAGGGTCCACAACCTTGATATACCATATTTTTACACTTATTTGAGAACGTACGGCGGCCATTTTGTCTGTCAATTTTGGGCCGATTTTCACGAAATTCGCACTCAGTCGTCCTTAGGGTATAACGGTGACATAACAATACGTTTTTTTAAATCGGATAAAAATTATGACCTCTATAGGGTACACAAGCTAAAAATGCGATTTTGTGTACAATCAGGGGCCATTCAGGAAGTTACTGTCCGATATGGGCGAATTATGAAAGGAACCGAGATCTTTGGGTTATAAACTTACATTTCAAGTTTCAACAAAATCGGATAAAAATTATGACCTGTAGGGTCCACAACCTTGATATACCATATTTTTACGCTATTTGAAAACGAACGGTGGCCATTTTCTCAATCAATTTTGGGCCGATTTTCACGAAATTCGAACTCAGTCGTCCTAAGGGCGTAACGGTGATATAATAATACGTTTTTTTAAATCGGATAGAAATTATGACCTCTATAGGGTCCACAAGCTAAAAACGCGATTTTTCGTACCATCAGGGGCAATAATTCAGGAAGTTATGGTCCGATATGCGCGAATATCTAAAGGAACCGAGATCTTTGGGTTGGGTTATTTCAAGTTTCAACAAAATTGGATAAAAATTGTGACTTCTATACGGACAGGGGCGACGGCAGAATACGTCCACATGAAAATGTGGGCGTATAAAAATTTTGACCTCTATGGGGTCCACAACCTTGATATACCATATTTTTACGCTATTTGCGAACGAACGAGGCTGAAACCCTGTCAAGGTATTGATGTAATAAAGCTATACACCAAGTGTCCTCACTCTCACTTAATTAGAACTAAAGTTATTGTGTCTCATGTATAGGGGTGATGATTTTCCGTTTCAGAAAATTGTAAATTCCGTTTTAAATATATTGAATTCCATTATTTTCTGTTTCAGAGCTGACTAGATTCCGTTTTTTTCTGGATAAAATGCTATTTCATGAATAAATGAATAAAACATCTCAAAAAATACAAAACTGACCATTTTAAACTAATGATAACAAATTATAAATTGTGAATGACTTATTTTTAATTTTCAATGACTAGTTGTTCTTCCACTTTAACACATTACTGGTAATTTGTCACAAACGGAACAAAAAGTTAACTTTGAAATTCAAATCTTCCTTCCACATCACCATTGTGCATTAGCATTGTCATCATTTTAGTGTTTTGTTCTGTGAGTCTTTCCCTCTTATCTGTAAGAAGAGTCTTGTAACGAGAAAAGCTCCTCTCAACATCCACTGACGCAAAAGG